ATAGCGGTCAGGTTTTGTTTCCTGCTGAGTGCATCCGCTGCCACATTAGCCTTATCGGGATGGTAGGCTATCTCCAAATCGTAGTTTGCAATCAACTCTAACCATCGTCGTTGTCTTAGGTTTAGATCCTTCTGAGATATTACGTAGGTCAAACTCTTGTGATCGGTGTTGAGCTTTAACTTCTCCCCATACAGATATGATCTTTAGATGTTCAATGCATGAACTACCGCTGCTAGCTCCATATCATGCGTCTGGTAGTTAATTATCCTCATGTTTCTTCAGTTGCCTTGATGCGTAGGCGATCACGTGTCCCTCCTACATCAACACGCAACTGAATCCCTGTTTAGACGCATCAGTATATACCTCGTATAAAACCCCCGGACGCAGTAGCACCAGAATCGGTGTTGAGGTCAATCTCCACTTCAACTCCTTGAAACACTCTTCACATTCGGCAGCCCACTCAAACCTGACATTCTTCCCTGTCAACTTCGTCAGAGGTCGAGCTACCTTTGCAAATTCCTCTATGAATCTCAGATAATGTTGTGTAGATTCGTCGCCGATGTCGGGGATTTTAGTCCATAACTGCCTCGATCTTGGCCGGATCCACCTGGATTCCTTGGGCTGATATGATGTAACCGAAGAACCCAATCTTTTGTAACAAAAAACTACACTTGTTGAACTTCACGTATAGACAATGCTCCTTCAATCTACACAACATTCTCCGTAGATGTTCCTCGTATGTCTACTGGTCCGGCGAATAGATCAGAAGGTCTCGATAAAAATGATGATGAACTCATCCAAATAATCCATAAACATGCGATTCATCATATGTATAAAGATTATTGGTGCGTTCGTGAGTCCACATGATATGACCACAAAATCATTAAAAGTTGAATACAGATAATTATAACACAATATTTCTCAAAGGATGATTTTAATATTAATAAAAAGAATATAGTCCAAAACAATGGACACTACTTTATTACTCGTAACCTTGGCTTTTGCCTTTACCGTAGTTTACGGACTCCTGATTTGGTCGGAGTTCACAAGACCGGTACAAGCTCATCCACGAGATCTGTTTAAGGCCGAAAAAGAGTACGGTGTTATCACACTGTAACACGCGTCATCTTTGGAAAAGACCAGTTAAAACTCTTGCTTAATATAAATGGGCTAAATTAATGAGTAATGGGCCGAGACTGCAAAACTGTGGCCCAGTCAACGGGAATATTCCTCCGTTGCTCTTCCGTAGATACTATACCAAACACCACGGCGGTGGGTAAAAATCTCGATTGATCGCTCAAGAATCGGGCAACAATGGCGTCGACGGAAGGACTTGTACCCATCACGAGGGCTTTTCTCGCTTCCTACTACGACAAGTACCCCTTTCATCCTCTTTCCGACGACGTTCCTCGTCTGTCCTCTGAGATCGCTTCTCTTCTCCAGCTTCTGCTTCTCCATTCTCCTCCTTCCGAAGGTTCCCGATCCAATCTTCTTCCGATTTGTTTTATCTTCATGCTTCTGTATTTGCCTCTGAAGCTTCCGTCTCTTTCTAGGGGAAATCCCCTTGATCGACGAAGCCAACCGACAGCCCCCCCACAAGATTGACGAGAACATGTGGAAGAATCGGGAACAGATGGAGGAAATCTTGTTCCTTCTCCAACCATCTCGTTGGCCTCCTCAGGTACGCCAATGTTCTCCCTTCAACTCTCCTTTTATTTGGTCGATGCTTGTGGTGACTCCCTTTATTGAGAATTGAGAATTGAGAATTACGTCATAATTCCCAATACCCTTTTCTCCCTTCTGCGCCCAGCTTAAAGACCCGACCACATCTGACGATTCTGAATTCTCTTCTATGCTTCGACATCTCAATGACAAGTTCCGCAACACATTGGCTTCTTTGATCTCCTTCCAGACGAAAAATTCTGAGCGTGTGTTCAGTACAGGTAACTCGGTTTGTGCACAGAAAATCAAATCAATGCGCCACATTGGTGTACATTTGAATCAAGCTGCAGAGCATACATTTTTTTGTTTATAGTTATGACCTACATGCCTCAAGATTTCCGAGGCACACTCATCAGACAGCAGAAGGAGAGGTCCGAAAGGAATAAACAAGCGGAGGTTGATGCTTTGGTTAGTTCAGGTGGAAGCATACGAGACAAATATTCTCTTCTTTGGAAGCAGCAGATGGATAGGTAAGCCCCTTTCTATCTGATTTGCCAACTGCACCTTTTGGACCAGTTTGATATATGCCCTCCGTAACTCTCGTATGGTAGGAGGAAACAGTTGGCACAGCTAGGTTCTGCGACTGGTGTCTACAAAACTCTGGTGAAGTACTTGGTAGGGGTTCCACAGGTATGGCATAAGATTTTTGGTGATATAATCCTTCCTCTCCAATAATCACTGCTTCTCTGGTCTTCACGGTTCAAATTTCCTTATGGTCCTCATAATCACATGTTGTGGGTTGAAATTCTGACTGTTTGGCTTACTTGTGCTTTGTAATTTTCACCTAGGTTGTTGATTCTTTTCCTTTTAAACTTTGTAGGTGTTATTGGATTTCATTCGACAAATAAATGATGATGATGGGTATGTATACTCCTGGTAAACTCAAATGATGTTTGTTTTTGAGAGAAAAAATATTCGGCATCTTTGAAACTGTAACAACGAAAGAAATCTTCTCATGTTAAGGCCAATGGAAGAGCAACGAGAGCGTTATGGGCCTCCTCTTTACAGCCTCACAAAAATGGTGTCGTCGTTGCGCCTTCTCCTTACACTTCTTTGGGGAAGATATGATACCTTCAAACTGTAAGATAATTTGTGTATTATTGTTAAGGTTTCAGTTGGTTTCAACCTGTCAATTGAACCTTCCCATGTTGAGGTAGACATTTTGTTATATGCGAGCTGAGCAGAAATAGGGACCAGATGAATGTCCTTTACGAAGCTGCTATCGTATACACCTCTGAGTTTGAAACGTTCATCACTTTTATTAGGTACCATCCCCTTTCTAAGAAATTTTCTGTCTTGTTATTTCCTCTGCTTATTCTTGGTTGCTAATATCTGATAACACAATTGGAGGGGGGGGGGGGG